TCCATTGGTCTGTGTGTCTGTTCTTGTTCCAATACCATGCAGTTTTGATGATTATGGCTTTGTAGTAGAGTTTGAAGTCTGGGAGTGTGATGCCTCCATTTCCTTCTTTTTTATTCAGGAGAGCTTTGGCTATTCAGGGTTTTTTGTGATTCCATATGAATTTCATCAATAATTGTTCTATTTCTTTGAAGAATGACATTGAAATTTCGATTGGAATAGCATTGAATCTGTATATTGCTTTTGGAAGGATGGCCATTTTAATAATGTTTATTCTTCCAATCCATGAGCAGGGGATGTCTTTCCATTTCTTTGTGTCTTCTTCTATTTCTTTTAACAGTGTTTTATAGTTTTCTTTGTATAGGTCCTTTACCTCTTTTGTTAGATTTGTTCCCAAATATTTGATTTTTTTTGTTTCAATAATAAAAGGGATGGTTTTTATGATTTCTTCTTCTTCTGATTTATTGTTTGTGTATAGGAAGGCTACTGACTTTTGCATGTTGATTTTGTATCCTGCCACTTTACTGAACTGATTGATGAGTTGAATTAATTTTTCTGTGGAGTTTTTGGGGTTCTCTATGTATATTATATCATCTGCAAATAGTGATGGTTTGACTTCTTCTTTTCCTATTTGGATTCCTTGGATGTCTTTCTCTTGTCTTATTGCTCTGGCTAGGACTTCCAGTATTATATTGAAGACAGTGGTGAGAGTGGACATCCTTGTCTTGTTCCAGATCTTAATGGAAGAATTCCACTAACTTTTAATGATCATGTCTTAAGCTCCCATTTTAAGAGATGAAGATATTAGCATATTTATATAACCTCTCCTTTTTGCTTCCCCATCTCACCTTTTATCAGCTACATTTGTAATCTGTCAAGGTTGCGACCATGTGCAATCTAGCTTACAAGCATAATTAAGTCTGCCATTCTTAGTCCACAGTCTGACTCTAAGGACAGAATCTGGAGAAATAGACCCTGACTGATTATGATATGCTACTATACCCACTGCCTGGCTTAATAAGAATTAAGATTTCAATCTTTTATTACAGATCCAGGATCATGACTACACACACAGCTTTGTGATCCCCATACCAACAATGATAAACACTTATTAATGCCCCTCTGTTTTATCAGGTATTATCCAAGTCAGTGACTCTAGTGCAACCCCTCTATCACTTGATATAGGTCATTAAACTACAAATATTTCTATTAATATTTGAAGTTTTATGCCTAATTAACCTCAAATGACCTGAAAAGAGCCCACGTGTTAAGAGTGCTTCCTGGATGACTTCTAGGAGTTCTCCTACTCTATATAAATAGGCACTAATTGAAATAGTGACCATCTCTGTATGCAAGGTACAGTGCCATGAAGCACATGCCACACAACCTAATCTGAATAAGGCAATGAGCCTATTTAACACACTAAGCACCACGTCCGAGTTTGAACTCATCATTTGAATTATTTGTTGCCCACAAGCACTTCATTTTTCTTCACAAGTAATCCTGAATTCTGCTTTCTTCAACAAACCTCCATATCAAGATGTATATCATTTTGAAGATTAAAGTATGCTGCTCTCCTCATCCATGTTGAAGATGTGTTTACATTTGGGAACTCTGATCAGACAGACTTTAGCAAAGGGTCCCACTCACATCCTTAGTGTCTGGGCATTGGGGAGGAGAATCTCTTTTATGGGAACCCTGTCACAGCAGATGCTGCAGCCTTTGCTTCAGATCTCCTTACCCATAGGCTATAAAGGCAGCTGTCCGGAGCCTGACCTCCTGCAATTCCTATGAAATAAATTCTCTAACATGCAGGATGCTTTTGTTCTAAGGATCTCAAAGGCCATCATTCCATTTGGCCTCACAGTGTGCCTTTGAACTAGGCCAGGGACCAGTATATAGATTCTCATTCCACAGATGAGAAAAAGACAGGCACAAAAGAGGTCAAGACACTTGAGCAGAGGTCGCCAAAGTGTCAGGAAAGGGGCAGGATGAGTCAGACCCCTGCTTCTCAGACCAGAGCTCTCAGTGTATCCTGATCAGCCTGTCAAATGTATGCAAAACGTTGCTTGGAAACACAGAACTGCTCAACCCAATGAAACCAGGAGATAAACTTTGTTCACAATAAGTAATAGTAGGTGGAGGGCAGCTGCCAAAAGATATGTTCTCTTCTGAAAGTTTCAAATAGTGAGAATGACAAATGACAAGAAGTTGCCTCCAATCTTGTAGCCCGTTTTGCTCATTAAAATTTTTTTTCTGAGTGAGAAACAGAACATTCTAACTATAAACACATTGTAAGGTGGCACTTTCAATTTACTTCATGGTACATCAACTGATATAAATCCTTTGAGTGATTCTACTCTTAACTTTGTTCTTCTGAATAAGAATTGGAATTGATAAAAAGTATTAGGAGCATCTGGGGTGGAGAAGACACAGAAGCCATTTGGCTGGGTGGGAAACACTAAGTGGGAGAAAAGGTGGTCTCTGCTGTCTGGACTCCTGTCTGATCAAGACAGATAAGCAGAGAACAAAAGTCAGCCTTAAGAGTCTTAAGAGAGGCCTCCCTGGTGGCGCAGTAGGTTGAGCGCAGCACCATGAGGCTGTTCACAGCCTCTGCAGCGTGGGTTCGATTCCCGGACAGCCAGGGAGATACCCACATGGTGCAGCAGACCTCTCCTGTCTCACCCGCTGCTCCCCTAAGCAGTGTATTTCAGCCAGTCTGCCTGTTCTGTTCCCCACTCTGTGTGGTGAATCCTCTCACCCTCCTGTGCCTCTGGCCTGTACCCCAGTTCTTGTATAAATAAGTCTTTAAAAAAAAAGAGTTTTAAGAGCTCAGTCAAAAAGTGAAAGACAGATTTCAGATGCTTTCACTCATCTGTGGAATATAAAAACAAAAAACCAATTACATGCAAACAATAGAAGAAATAAAAATTTGAACTCCACAAAAAAGCAGACAATGTCTACCAGAGACAATAGGGAGCAGAGGGAGGCAGATGGGGTATGGGTACTGGTGGTTTGGTGGAGGCTAAAAATTTAAAATAATCAACTTGCAATCACTCTTATTATTATTACTGATTCCAGAGAGTGTCCCTAAATGGCTGAGGTGTTAAATTTTTTTTTAAAAGGTCTTAAAAGCAAGAACACCATACGCATAAATGCCTGAGAAATCACTTCTGGAAAGTAAGTGTGGGGATGCATAGGATCAGAGCAGCCTTCAGAACAGCAGGGGATGTGTGGTGTCAGAAAAATCTGATGCCATTTCCTTAAACAGAGGAGAAAACGAAAGAAGTGTCAGTAAGAAAAAAATGGGACAAACTACAGTGAGAAGAAATGAAATGCAAGTGAAGATCAAGGAATGATGTTGGTTCCCCTTTTCTCCAAACCCAGTTAAGGAAGCTTCACTGAATCCCACGAGTCCCATCACTGGTGAGATATCCCAACACTATTTCCATCTTGAGCCTGTCTCATACTAATGGACAGTTTCCTTTTAGCTCCTTTACCTACATGCAGTGCAGCTGTCTCATTCTTGGCCACTGTCACTGCTTGAATCACTGCTTGGAGGCCAATGACCATAGACAGCCAATGTCTCCATCACAGACCTCTCTCCTAGAGCCATGCTCAGCTATTTCAACTTCATGTCCAAAACAGCACTAAGCACAGCTCTCCCACCTCTGACCTTCCTGGTCTTCCTCTGCTGTCTCTTCTTGGTGCTTCCTCTCTCAGATGATCATCATTCTCTGTTCTCCAGCTACTTCAACCAAAAGTCTGAGGATCATCTTCTACTCCTGTTCCTTCAAAATTCTTATCCAAGTGGTTATTAATTCTCCCTTCCAAATCTCTAATCTGCTTACTCCTTCCCATCATTCAGGTCTTCATTCTCTCTCAGGTAAGTCATCTCCCTATCTCTCATCCCTTCCCCTTTCCATTCATTTCCTAAACTATAGCCTATCTTGCTGATCTAACATAAAACATGAATTCAGCAATAGCCCATGAAAACCTTCTAGTTGCTGCCTTATTGCATATAGAAGAAAAATTCCAACTCCTTAGCACATCTGACCAGATAGGGTCTGGTCTCAGACATGGTCTGGACCCAGCACACCACTGCAGCCTTACCTTCTCATACCTACACCCACCCTGCTCATTATCATATTACACTGCTCCAAAACAAACTAAGAACCTTTACAACTTCATGTCTTCTTATGTGTTGCACCCAGCACAGAGTAAGAGATTAAGAAAGGTAGTTGGTATAATAGAAGGATGGCAATGAAAATTCTGGACAGTCACATAGGACCAGACTCTGCATGATCTTATGGACCGAAACAGGCACTAGAATACAGACTTAGTAAAGGATCTAAGGATTCTGGGGTATGGCAGTGACAAAGTTATGATCTCTGGTAGCAGATAATTAAAAGAACTGATTAAAACAGGGTGGAGAAGGAGGTAGGAAAGTCATTGGCAAACTGCTACAATAGTTCATGTAAAAGGCACTAAAACAGAATATATAAGTGAAAATAGATGAGAAAAATTTTAATTCCTTAGGCCTTGGAAGTTAAACAGAAACAAGCTTGCACAACATGAAAAGCCTGCTAAAATTTCTAGAAGGTAAAATAATGAAGATACCTGATGAAAACTTAGAATTTGGGAAGGGGATATGGATTGAAAACTGCTGGTATAGATTCCTTAATAGAGGCATTTTTCAAAGAGTTGAGACCACAAAACCAGATGAGAGGCTAAGAGGGAGTGAGGCAGGAGTTATTCAAGTATTCTAAATGTCATAGGCTGGAAAGCAAGAGATGGGAAAAAGACTATAAAAGTTGCCCATAAGCCAGGGTGCTTATTGGGAAAGGAACGTGAAGCGTTGGAAAGGTTTGAAGTCAGAACAATGATACTTAAAAAACAAAGGTGTGGCAAGGAAGTTGAAGCAAAGACACTTGTGGTTTAAGGAAATCATTCACTCAATAAATGCCAATTTACAACTGTCTTTGCACTGGACACTTTTCCAGGTGCTGGGAACAGAGCAGACAAAATACAATCTCTCTCCTTATGGAACTTTACAGTCCAGTGAAGGAAGCAAGGAGGATACCAATGAAAAGGTAAGGTACAGGAGTATCACTGATCACCTCCAAAACTGCTAGGCGTATATGTAGGCTACTCAACAGTCAGCTGTCAGATGCTTCCAGAAGTCTTTTGACATATGTAGAAAGTGATTATTTATTAAATAAACTCTGTACATTATGAAATGATGCATCATACTTACATTACAAATTGCCTGAAGGAGCTTCTGAGAAACTGCAACAATAAATACTAAAGCCTAACTGCACACACATCTAAAAAGCAGAATTTTCATTTGGTTTTCTATAAACAAAAGTCATGTTTCCCTCTTAATCCTTTGCATAAGACTGATTTCTCATTTACTCCATTCTCCATAAATCTTTATCATTCTGCTAAAACTACATGGTTTGGGAAAAACAGTAAGAGGGTCTCACTTAAATACAGCTTGCCAAAGCAATGGTGCTATTGTTCTTGTTTTCATATGATGAATTCAGAAGCCTAAGAGTAGTCCCATTCACATGACTCCTTAAAATCAAGTTAAATTTTTCACACTCACCTTACTTATTTTGTTGAGACTATTAATATTTATTTTCCAACAGGAGCTGGAGATCAGAAAAGTTGGGGAAATTTTTTACACAATCTCTCTTATGGAAAAAAGGAATATCTTTGGAATTCTATAACCCCTCAGGGTTATAAAAATGAATCTGTAACCTAAACACCCATAAATTACTGCTATGTTTAAGGAAAAAGTTTATGAAAATATGCTTCAGAACATAATGTAGTAAACACATAGACAGGTTATAAAGATAAAAAAAAAAAAAGACACATGGCTATCTCAATCTTAGACTTTCAATCTTATTTATCTGAATGGCCCAAAAAACATGACTTAAGAAAAACATGTTCTTTATTGCCAGTGAACGAAAAAAAACTTGTTTGCTTCCTTTACAAGTGGAAATCTTCAGACCCTCCATCAAAAACTGTTTCTATTAAAAAAAAATTCAATGCATATTATGAGTCTATTTGGGAAGCACAAGTAAGACCAAGCATGGGTGTTACTTGAGTTCCCAAGATCATAACAGTTTCTCCATAGTAAATAATGAGTGACAGGATCATCACTGCTGAAATAGGGACAAAGAAAATTAAAAAAAGACAGGTAAGTTTTCAAAAACAGCAAAGCAGAGCCATTTGGTACAGGAACAAAGAGCCTTGCCTCCCTGCAGGGATCCCAAAGTTATCACATTATTACAGCATAAAAGATATACTTTGTTCTGTGTTTTTTTATTCGAGGAAGGTTGTGACAACTTTGGAGGAATTTTCACCAGAAATTAACCATAACATATTTTGACACTTAAAGGAGCAAGTAAACCCTTAGCAATCAAGAAATTTATTTTAGAGTAAAATATATGCCCCTAAGTTCTGAGTGGCCAAGAGTTTCCTACCCTGCCCTCCAGTCATTTTGTGCTTAAATGGCCAATTTCAAATGAGCAGGCTTGACAGCTTGATGAATTTTAGGCAGAACAAAAAATATGATGTGAGATTGTCCTTGACATTTTTAAAAGGGTGTGGTGTGGCGTGTGTGTGTTTACAGTCTTAGATGCTTGCTAAAATAAGCTAGTATGAACTTTAGGGTGAGCATTAAATGAAAAAATATAGACATGCCTCAGTAAAGGCCATATTTCATCATTGCAGCTTATTTATCCTCTATAACAGATAAGGAACCTTATAAGTCACTTTCCCCCAACTCCCAGTTCTATCAAATATCAACTCTCCAGATTTCATGAGACTTTGATAGAAATTAAAACTTTAATTTAGGTTGGAGATCTTTAAGGAGTTTTTAATTTACAGCTTCCCACGAACCCATAGAAGTAAAAAGAGCACTGGTGGAGGAGTCATGGTCGGCTCCTCAATAAACGGAAACCTTCCTGTGAGTTTCCACAAGGCAGCACTGGAGGGGTCAATAGATTAAATTCATGCTTTCCACATTGCAGCTCTCAGCCCACCAGGGTGGAGTAAAATCAATTTTATGGACCAGGCCCAGTGTCTAGTAGAGGCTGGAGGTGGGAGGGAACAAATTAGAACAGTAAATCTTGTGTAGTGTAGCTAGGTATTGTTTCATGAATCCTTTATTTTGAATATATTTATTATTTATATGTCTATACTGGGTTTCAACATAGTGTGGCCATAAAGTGTTGCACAATGGCCTAAACGTTTGTGTCCCGCCCCCCCCCTTTCCCCAAATGTATATGTTGAAATCCTAAGGATCAGTGTGAGGTTATCAGAAAGTGGGGCATTTGGGAGTTAGGTCATGAGAGTGGGGCCTGTATGAATAGGATTAGTACCCCCTGCCACATGATGATACAATGAGAATTTGCAGTCTGGAAGGGGATCTCACCAGAATCTAATAATCTGTCACTTAGATCTGGACTTTCTACTTCCAGAGCTGTGAGAGGTATTTCCTGTTGTTTACAAGCCCCCCAGTCTGCGGTACTGTGTTATAGCAGGCTGAACTAAGACAGGTTGGTCTTCTTTTATTCACCATTCAAGTGTTACTGAGTAACCTGAAAAGCCCTGTGCAAAGATTAAACTCAAGCTTATCTTAGCCAACTTCTGTTAGCTAGTTTCTCTAGACCCTGTGATTCTTTCTTCCATTTTATCCAAAGATACCTAGAAGATCAAGGATGATGCTTTATCCTCCAACTCACTCCTTTCTTCCTCAACTACTGCCAGTCCTTGAACTAGCACTTTGGTTCTTTGTTAGAGTGAGTGCGGCTCATGGATTCCCAGAGCACTGTTAAAAACTTGGGATTGGGGTTGGCCCGCCAGGTCCCTAGCCACACTCACATTTTCATCCTGTACCTGTAAGTCAAGAATGTGGGCCTGACACCAGTCCAGGTGCAGAAGACACCGCAGGAGGCTTCTACTTTGAGCAACAGATGACACAGCTCCTTCCAATCTTGACCAAAGACTCAAAGAGTTGGGCAGTGTTGGGAAAAGTTCTCAGAGACTGCAAGTGTTCCAAATGTCACCAACCTGAAGACTCCCAAGGGCCAGAAATGTTCCGTCTCCATAAGGAATAAACTGGAAGTGGAAGGGAACGATTTAGCCAGCAACAGCTAAGGTCCTCTCCAGATTTCTCAACTGCTCTGCCTGCAATATGGACAATGGATTGAAGGAGGGCTAGGTGGACTCAGCAGCCCAGGAAGCTCTGACTAGAGTCCAGCACAGTGATGAAAAGTGGGATTATGATGGAGCCAGCAATGAGAAGTAAATGGATAGAGGATACTCAGGAAGAAATCAATAGAAGTTTGCAATGGATCAGGTGCAGAGGATAAAATGAACAGGGGGTTGGGGCACAGGATGGTTCCCAACTTTCTACCTCAAATAACTTGGTGGCTAGCAATGCTCATCACAGAGCTAGGGGCCCCTGAAAGAGGACCAGGTATACAAAGAAGTAAAATTTGAGCTATCTTTGAGCTATCCTAGTGCAATGACAAATAATCTGGAGCTCTCAGTTAGGCGATAGAAATTTTAGATTTATTCAAGATTTCCTCTTTTCAACTCTCATTCCAAAATTACATTTTTAGGTGCAAAGGCATGAAACAAAGAAAAGTATGTGAGTTTTCAAGAAAATAATCCTTCAGAAAAGGATTGGAAATTTCATGCTACCCCTTTTCTGATTGCGCTCATGAGCATGTACCTAACCTGTTTCCATTTCTTCCTCTACCTGAAGATGAAAAGAAATAGAATGAGAAGTGTCTGGAATAGAGAAAGTTCTCAGCAACACTGAGCCGAGCTATGTTTATACCTTTTTTTGGACACCCCAGAGCACTTGGTATTGTCCTCCTGGTCAAGGGGTCCATCAGTATTTAGCATATTGAACTGACTTGAAATATTCTGAGAATTGTCAGAAAACCAGTTTCTTCTTCCAAAATAACCATTAGCTCTGAAAATTATTTTCTGACACCCTGACATTAGTGTGTCCTCAAGCAACACCCAAATATGATCCATATGGAAAGTGTCTTACGCCCTCAGCACCTACCTATCCTGGTCTCTCTCGTAGTCCTGGGAGAGACCATTACTTGGGAAGGTCAGGGACGTTCATGACACACTCCTGCAACTCTGGTCTACACCTCAGCTCCTGTATGCATAAATGAATCAATCTAAAAAAAAGAGTATTTGGGGTATTCTGAGGTGCTAGATACCCAATGCAGTCTTAGGGATTTGTTCTCTTGTAATCCACAGGGCTCTGAGAAAAGCCAAGACTGGTTTTACTCTCCCCTGGTATTTCTGGCTGAGCAGGCAGACGGCACCCTCTCCACACACCTGGGATTCACCCAGAATATACTGCAGGAGACTTCTACTTTGAAGATGAAGCAGCTCCTTCCAATTTTGAGTGCGCCATCAGGACCATCTGGAAACTCATCGATACTAGGTTTGCTGATCCCCATCTCCATAGTTGGACTCAGCTGGTCTGGGGTACTGGCTGAGAATTTGCGTTTCTAACAAGTCTTCTTACTGCTGTTGCTGGTTCAGGAATCACATCTAAGGCCACTATGCTGGCTTCTTCCCTGGTGTTGGGCTATTGCTGTATCTAGTACTTAGAGATAAACCAGTGGAGACTGGGGAGTTTTTACCTGAAGTGTCATAGCATTTACTTGTATATTATCCCCAAGTTGTCTTGATTAGTAATTTCATATGTTGGTGATTTAGGTAATTTCATATATTTGTGATTTAGGTAATTTCAGGCTCTATTTTAACAATATTGGCATGTTTTATGCTTGATAATTTCCACTTATCTATTCTCTGCTATTCAGTTTTGAGTAAACGACAAGGAATAACTTGTTACATAGAGATGCTGTTCCATTAACATTTGTTCACAATGTATTCACCTAAACAAGTGTCGTTTCCTACTCTTCAGGGTTCGGTACCACCCCAATGGCATGGTCATAAGGACGACAGTTCCAGCCTTTAACAACTGTCTTCCAGTGGAACCTGTTCACTTTGAGTGATCTCAGTGGGGCCCAGTTCATCTAGATAGGACGGACCCGTGTTATTCCTCATTCATTTAAATATTTACAGGGCACCCACTGTAAATATTTACAGGGCACCTACTGCTGGTGCAAAGCACCAGCAAAACAATTTCAGAAACATAACCTCTGTTCTTAAAGAGTTTATCATCTTGGATTTGGTATCATTTTTGGGCAATGGTGATAGGAAATCAAGTGAAATACATAAATGTGTTAAGTATATATTACGGTAAGTGAAGAAAACATATGAAGGTGTCCTTTAGGTGAGAGAACAGAGGAGGCCCTAAGAGGAGGTGACATTTAAGCTGAGTAACTTAGAGAAACCTAAAGTCCATCGTGGTCTGTGCACCCTGAGCCAAACTCACTATTAAGTCATGAGCCAAACTTATTAAGTTACTCTGAGTGCTTGAAAAATGTATTTACCTTATACTTGTAAATAAAAATCAAATAAAAATTTTATATTTAGATTATTTCTGTTAAATAAGAAAAATAAAAAGTCATTCCTAGACATGTTGGTTAAAAATAGATTGAAGAACTGATGAATAAATAGCATGTATGATGAAAAATGAAGAATCACTACAAACCATTGAAACTGTTGTCTCACAGCCTGTCTGATCATTCTAAAATGGCTTGGAAAATAACAGA